CTGATTGGTTGTACGCTAAGCGACAGTGACAAAAGTTGAACATTTTTCAACTTTCATATGTCGCGTCGCAAGCTCGCGTGTGCACATCTACGTGTACGAGCGTGAAATTTCACATGCACTATTTTCGCCGGTCGCTTGGCTGGAGGAGGGCAAGCGATTGTCGCCTCACTGCACAGGCTCCATAGGAAATGAATGGAGAGCGAGCGACGTCGCCTCCCGTGTGTCAACTTAAGAACAAATCTGTGCGTACGAACGGTTCTTGCATGAGGCCCATTGCTTTWGTAGATTGTTGTTAATTGTTTGAGAAAAATAATTTGAAGATTTGAAACATTTATTTTATTTGTCAAAGTTTTTAATGTTAAACTATAACCTGTCTTGATCAGAGAAGAATAAGCATGTAAACAAACCAGTAACGCTTGTCATATACAGCTCAGAAGTTGGTGGTTATTAGAAATGTATGGTTAATACACAAATTCTTCTTTTTGCATGCTTTTTTTTTACATCCCAAAAGAAGTCCGAAGGAACCATCATGGGAGTGTTATCCACAATTTTGAGGGGTCTGGTTAGAGGTGCAGACAGGATGTCTCCGTTCACCAGCAAACGCGGCTCAAAATCCCACAACAAAGGTCGCGGCGCCCGGCCCGCAGGACGAAAGCTCCCCAGCGGCAAGTACGCGACTGTTCGAGAAATGATCCCTGAATTTGTGGTGCCTAATTTGGAGGGGTTTAAACTCAAGCCATATGTGTCATACCGTTCACCAAGAGGGACGGAACCACCGTTCACAGCTCAGATCTTATTTGATGAAGTTGTGGCTCCTCAGATAAAGAGAGACTTTGAGGCGGGCGTTTTCAACAAAGATCAGCTGGAGAAGTATGGGTTTGAGCCAACGCAAGATGGGAAGCTCTTCAAGCTGTATCCTAAGAACTACGTGCGTTAGAGATGAATTGGAGACAGCCCACAGGAGGATCYTCAAATAAGGCTGCAAACTGTTTCTAAAATATGGCTGTTGGGTAAACATTTGGCTACAACACTTAGACATGAGTGAGACTGCAAAACTGTGTGTGTAAAACTGATCCCGTGTGATCAGAGTATAACGTATAACTGGTGTATAAAAGCAGATCTTGACCATTGTTTTATGTTGATATTATGCAACACAAATGAATGCCTTCAGCTGTTTTATTTTGTCAGAATCATTAAATAACACCTTGACTTTCTAAATTTTGAAAAAATGTGCAAAAATAAAAGGCTTGAAATAATGCATATTGCCCGCTGCCTTTCATGCCAGTTTGATACTAAGATGATGGTGAGAAATGCTGAAATTCTAGTGTTTCAGTCAAATATTAGATGTTGAGGAAAAATGTCATCGAGGACTTTCAGCTACTACCACACCAACTTTAGCTCAGATTCTGCGAAACTGATTTACAGCCATTTTCATGTTTTCTGCAGATCCACAGTAAACTGGTGGCCATCTTGAACAGGTTTGGCTCAAAGTAAATCACTTGTAGACGTAAATGTGAGCCATGACTGGTTCATGAGATATTTTTAAAGTGTTGATTTTATTAATTAATGGTAAAAGTAATGAAAGCTCTCAAGTCATCAGTATGTGTTGGTGATGATGGCTACTAACAGGAAAGGTTTTGGTCCATTTACAAAGGTTTTGCCAAGGTACCCGTGGGGTTGTAAAAAGTATTAAAAGGTAGTAAATCAAATAAGCAAAAATTAAAGCCGTTAAAAAGTATTATAAGTTAATAAACGCCATCTGACGAGGAATTAATTTTTAAACAACTAGCGTACTTTCGCCATGCTGGAATCTGATGCGCTCAAGTAGCAGGGTGTCTGCGGACAAGAGCGGAAGAGTGGGCGTGTCACAAGAAAAGGCGATTCTAAAGCTACACACCTGATTTGTCGGACTTTGTTGAAGGGACACACCTGACTGGACAAGCAAAAAAAGGGGCGATACCGTACGGCACCACTTCATTGGACAAGAACAAAAGGGGCGTTACTGTACGGCACCTCTTTTTCTGGAGGACCCTTCTTGGGTCACATTTCTCCTGGTTAACCTTAGTGTTGGGGTCAGGGTCAGGCTGTAAAGAGATCAAGCAGGATCTAAGGATACCGTCATGTAGGCCTCGTAACCCAGTGTTTATGCTTTTGACACGCCCACTTTGATTCCGCAGTTATCCCCTTCTCGATGCGCTGCTGTGTGGAAAATAGATTTAACAAACATTTCTCTGGCCCAATCTGAGACGCAGCTTTAACTTTAGACAGGCCTATTAGCCAATCAGAAATAGTGTGGGGACGGGACTTAAGTGTCTCTAGTAGCAGAAGTTGAAGCGGTGTTTTAAATAAAACATATTTGTTAGGACACGTCTGAAAAAGAACAGGAGACAATATCAAAGCTGGATGGTTGTTAAAAGTCAGAAAAGATAAACCAGCAGAAGGATTACTGACTCCTCCACCTGAGAGGAGCCGTGTGTCGGTGGATGCTAGCTTTAGCTAAAGC